TGATCACAGGTTTTTTTTTTTTTGCTATACCGAATCTCATATCGATAATGATGATGATGGCAATGGTGGTGGCCACACAATATCATCAAGCATAAATATCGAAACGGATTGATTTTTGTATGAATCAAAAAAAAAGCGATGATTGACCGACCTAATTTTCAATTGTTTTTTCTGTTTATGGTTCTTATTATTATTATTATTGATCAGTTCTGATCATTTCAATCATTTTTTTTGGCTCACGATTTTCTTTTTGCTTTACAGGCTAACAAATAATAAAATGGTCATGGTTAAATTTTTTTTTTTCATCAGTTCTTTTTTTTCACATTTCTCCACATGATGATGGTTGATTTTCAATTTGTTTAAATTCATTTGCAAATTGGTATATTATATATAGAGTTTAATGTTTCAGACGATACGAAATAGGATGATGATGTGGATGTTAGCGATACAAATGTAATCTAATGATTTTTGTACGAAACACAACGCTAATCACCTCTCTTTCTCTGTCTCTCTGGCTAGTCTTTAAAAATGTTCACTCTTTTTTCTTTTTTGTTTTGTTTCACTTGAAACATCATTATTCAAATGTGTAATAAAAGTGATTCTAATTTATTTTTTTTTTTTAATGTTTCCTATGACACTAAATAATGTTGTAATTATTTATCATCACCCAAGAACATTTCAAAGATTTTTTTTTCTGATAATGATGATTCAGTAGTAGCATTAATAGTTGCATTAATAAATTTCTTTATCATTTCCTTTACCACATTTATTTAATTGTGATTATATCCCATATATATGTGTGTTATCTGATGCTAATGATGATGATGATAATGATGATGATGATGATTTTCAAAATATTTAACCAAATTTAAATTACTTGATGAAATTTCTTTTCCTACTGCTTTTTTTTCCTCCTCTCTTTCATTGGTTGTTGTTGTTGTTATTCATTTGATTGATTGATTGATTGATTGATTTTTTTCACTGTATACTATAGAAATGCATGTTTTTCTCTGATTTTTTTTGTTTCAGATTGATTATTAGCTACTATATTCAGCAAAAAAAAAACACGTGTTTAAACATTTACACAATCGATTTTTATTTTTATTTTTATTTGCGTGTAAAGCTTATTGCAAATTTGATTGTCATTCAATACTGAATGAATGAATTATTATCATCATCATCATCAAATTTTCACCCTTGTTTCCTTTCTATTGCTTTTTCCATCTATTTGATTGGTATTTTGTGCGTACATTCTGTTTCAATATATAAAAAAAATAGGATTGCAGCAAATAAATCTACCAAAAAAAAAAAAAAATTTGCAATCAAGTGTACACTAGTATGATAATAATAATGATCATGATGATAGTGGAAATAAAACGAAAACAAAACAAAACAAAAAAAAATGTGAATAGTAGCCTTGATGGTTTATATATGATAATAATGATGATGATGATGATGGGAAGGACATCAAACAATAATTGCCATTACCATTACCATTACCAACCGACTAACCAACCAACCAACCAACCAACACATGGTCAACAACTAAATGTAATATTTGCCAATAAAAAAAAATGTTTTCATTATTTGTATTAGCTATGATGATGATGATGATAGCTACAATTCATTGAAATATTTAAATGGATATAGCTTGTTACGTATAGAGAGAGAGAGAGTAGAGTTGAAGATTTTTCATTTTTTTTTGTTGATTCAAGATTCATTGTTGTTAAATGATTATCATCATCGATATGTTTGATGAATTGATATGAATTTGATGGTACATGGTTGATCAGCATGTTTATATTTTTCTTCTTCTTCTTCTTCTCTAATCATCATGTTTTTATCCGATAAAAAAGAATCAATCAATCAATCCAACCGTATCGATTGAATTGGTTTCTATTTTTTTTTTTTTTTTTTTTAATAAAATGTGAATTTCTAATTTCCGTGTAATTGTTTTTCATATTTCGTTTGTTAAAATTATCATATAAGCCATAAATCTGATTTTAAAAATCACATTCATAATTTTAATCACCAAAAAAAAAAAAAAAATTCAATGATGTTGAAACAAGAAATGAACAAAATACCAACACAGGGTTATTTAACGGTAAACTAATCGAATGGAAACTAATTTACCATTCATGATTGTGTGTATGTGTGTTTGTATTGAATTGATCTGATTTCATATTTTTTTTTTCTTTCTTCTTCTATCAATCTTTATCTTTTTCTTACTTCCCATTTGTACAAATTCATTTGACCGTCAATTATGTTATTGCTGTTTTTTTTATTGTTATTTTTGTTGTTGTTGTCATACAACCGGAATATATGATCGGAACAATCAATATTACCAGTAATAATAATCATTATTATGGCCAATAATAATCATTGTTTGTATGCCATGAAAGTTGACTATCATCATCATCATCATCATCATCATTGAATGACCCCAAAGAACTACAAATTCATTTTTTTCTTTCAATCGTAATATCGTCAATATGTTATTCGAACACAAAAAAATGTCCATGCTTTATATATATATAATAAATGTAAAAAGAGAAAAAAAAATTTTTTTCTCGCCACTACTGCCAATCATCAGAATGGCCTAAATTATCGATTGACATCTAATTGGTGTGTCTCTCGATCATCATCATCTTTTTTTTTTTTTTTGGCTTAAATTTTTTTTTTGTTTATGAAATCAAATAAAAAATCTTTATGACCCCGGATAGGCCTACGCCATACATACATACATAGATCCTGTGCATACATGCAATCGGTTCAATCAAAAAAAAAGTTCCGATAGTTCAATTGCCGTTTAACACCTGGCATTTCTGTCTTTTTATTATTATTATTTGCTCAAATTCAGGACATTTTACCTATGCTCCTGTATGATGATGATGATGATGGCCATGACACCCACACATGTGCAACAGACACACACACCCACTTACTGTCTGTCACCATTTATGATGATGACATTTGTTTATCAAAAAAAAACTTCTTGTTTTTTTTCTATTTGATAACTAAAAAAAAAAATAAAAAATAAAATGAACTTGACCATTAGATGATTGATTAATACAGCCGAAAATTTTTTTCTTGTTGTTTTCGATCAGATTAGATAAAACTATTTCTGGAACAAATACAGGTGCAAATAAAAATTTTAAATTTTGAAAATTTGACATACACACAATGCATGAAAAATAATGATTGAAAAAAATTTTAATGTTTTATCTCTTGTTTTTTTTTTTTTTTTTTTTGCAACAATTCATAGATTTGTCTGATATGCCTGAGCAGTAGCCGAGAAAAAAAATGGTCACATATTTTAATGAAGATTAATTATCAACAACAACAACAACAACAACAGCAGCAATGTTAATTTTTAAATTTATTCAACCAAACAACATTTCAATGAATTGGTATTAAAAAAAAAAAAAAAATGTCACACTGAATTTCAAGCCAGCCAGCAAATGAAAAAAGGCGACAAACAAAAAACGAATAGAAACGACACCAAACGGCCAAACCAATTTTAACGGCTAAATTGTTAATCCAACAACAACGACAACAACGACGAAAAAAAAAAAAAAAATTTTTCTCTCTATTTATGAACAATATGGAGATTTAAACAAAAAACAAAAATATTTTCAGATCAAGTCCACTCACACACTCATACACATAAACAAATTCGGACAAACAAATAAACACTGGAATTCATCATCATTGTTTTGTTTGACTTTGAATTTATCATCATCATCATCATCGTCATCATCAACAACAACAACAAGATACGATTAACCATCATCACCAATAGTGTGTAGTACACTGACATTTTTGGATCTGTCATCTGTGAAGCGATTATTTTGGCACAAATTTTTTTCTTCTTTCTTTCTCTCTCTCTCAATCACTTGCTAAGCCTTATTTTATTTTTTATTTTATTTTTTTTCGAAGATTTTTTTTCATTTTTTTTTCTTCCACTTGTTTTCTTTTTCGTCGTCTTCTTTTTTTCTGTTTCTTTGCTTTTTATATATATATTATATTGTTATTGTCATCAGTCGATTGTTTTTTTTTCGTTTCTGTTTTTTTTGTTTTTATTTTTTTCATTCTTTTCTCTCATTTGTCATTGTCGCCTATGATGTTTTTTTTGTGTGTTTGTGAATCCAACACTGTGGCCTTCTTTTTGTTGTTGTTGTTGTTGTTGTTGTTTGCAAATTCTCCCAATTTCACATTCAACATTCACACCCATTGAACCATTTTTCGTTTCTTTTCGTTTCGTTTTGTTTCGTTTTCTTCTTCTTACTTAAAATGTTGTATAACCGAATTTTTCATCGTGATTAATGTGTAACATACATACATTTATTATTCTGTTGTATTTGTAAGGCATAAATTTATTGTGTATAAAAAAAAACAGAATTTATATCTGTAAACTGTAGAATCATTATCACAATCACAATAAACAAATGAAATGAAATCAATCAAATCAAATCAAATTATAAAAAATTGAATCAAAACATTAAAACAAGTTGAAATTACATTACATACACACACACAGAAAACATCAACATAAACAAATCTATGTATGTATCATAAACACATTATTATTATTTGATTTGATTTGAATACAAAAATTTTCAACAAACAAAAAAAAATCAAAAAATGAAATACCGGCAAACGGCAATCAAAATCAAAAAAATGATGAAGATTAAGAAAAAATTTTCAAAGACAACTACCGGAAGTCTATTATTATTATTATCATCATCATCATCATCAATACCGACAATTATGATTTTATTGTTTAAAAAAACGAATACAAAAAGTTGGAAAAAAACGTGAAATTTTTTTTTCTGTTTTTTGTTTTGTTTTTTTTTTGCTTCGTTTGAATACACTCATATACATACATACATATTTCATACATATATATTCATACAGGACATACAACACTAAATAGTAACGATAGAGAGAAAAAAAAATCGACGAGAAAACTACGAGAAAAAAAACAATCAACCACGAAAATGGTCAACGTCCTAGTTATTGACGATGGCGTCACGGTTGGATCGACTAAATCAATGTCGACATCGTCGTCGTCGTCGTCGTCGAATACGACAACTACCAATATGACTGCAAATATACCAACAATATTAACAAATTGTGATGATGACAATATAACAATAAAACAACAACGACAAAAACCATCAACCGCAACTATTAGATCGATCCAACCAGTGATATCGTCAACAACATCTTCTTTGACAACGACGGTAAAAACAACGTCAACGATCAATAATAGTCAACAACGTTTAAACGCTATTGGTTTGATAACCAATCGTAATAATAACAATAGGCTAACATCAACAGCAATATCGACAAATAATTCAATTTCGTTACAGTCATCATATTCTTGTAGTAAAAATAATCATCATAATACATCTTCAGCATCAAACACTGTAGCGAACATAAACAATGCATCCATGGAAACAAACCATAAAGATGGTGGTGGTGGTGGTATCGATACAGATACAAATCATCAACATTATCGTCATTCATCCGCATCATCAGTGGCTGGCGGCGGTAGTGCTGGTATTGCATTTCGGCCTACCAATTATATATTATTAAATAAACTTCGTGTACAATCATCATCATCTCGTATACGTCGATCATCATCTTCTTCATCATCATCATCGCCAGCAACAAATATTGATCCATTGAACGCTATCGTTACAGTTGGATCATCATCATCATCATCATCATCATTGAATGGCCAAAATAAATCATCATCATCGAATATAAACAAACTGTCAACATCAACATTGTCGGATCGTCGAGATTATCTTGGCCATAGTAATCATAATACAAATCAACATTCTCATACAAATCATTTACATCAAAATCATCCGCATAATAATAATAATCATCATCATCATCATCACCATAATACACAGCATGGCCAAAGCCCTAGCCATAGAACAACAACGTTTAGTACATTGGCTAACATAAATAATAAAATTTCCAACAGCAACAACAACAACAACACTGTAATTGAATCGCCAATTTCAATTTCAACAACAAAAATGATGACAACCGCTGAGCAAAAAACTATGAACGTTCCATCAACATCATCGAATGGTCATCATACACATTCAAATTATCATAAACGTCTTTCAACATCAACTACAACAACAACAACAACAACATCAACAACAACGACAGCATCTCCATCATCTTCGTCTATAGTGATGGTGGGTGGTGTTGTTGGTGGTGGCAATGTTGGATCATCATCATCCTCAACATCAACATCAACATCACCATTGAATCATCATCATCATCATCATATAAATCATTCACATCAACAACACCTACGATCATCTGTTCAAACCACATTCAATGGTAATAATAATAATAATAATAATTATCAGAATACACCAACAACATCAACGAATAGGCCGATTATTACTCGTGTCAATGCTCCATATTGGCTTAACCACCAACAACAACAGAACAGCAAAAAAGGTTTGGCCACACAATATTTTTTAATTTTATGTTCTAAAATTTTGTTTTTTTTTTTTTTTCCGTCGTTTTTTTCATTCAAATTCTTTTAGATTTTTCATCATCATCATCACCATCATCATCGACGCCAACAACACCGATACATGAATATCGGAAAAGTTCAACATTATTAAATACGACAAAAAATCGATCAATATTGATTAATACTGGAAATATGATCAATAGGTCAACATCGATTGGAAAATCATCGATTGATGATCTTGTTCAAACGAAATTAAAACCATCATCATCATCATCATCATCATCATCAACCACAACAATAACTGTAACAAAATCTGAACAAAAAAATTCAAAACCATTACGATCAATATCATCATCAACAATAAATAATCAAAATTATCGTATCAATGATTCAACAAGATCTACTACTGTTGATTTATCAACACGAAAAACAAAAATGATAATTAATTCTAATAGTAATGATCAATCGTTATCAATATCAAAGAAACGATCATCATTATTGCAACAGCAACAACAACAACAACAACAATTGAATATTGATAAACAAAATAAATCAGTGATAAATAATATTGTTGGTCCATGCAATGATGATGATTATAATAGAATCAATAATGATAATGTTGATGATGATAATGATAATGATAATGTCCATCGATTAGTCATCGATGATGATGATCATCATATAGAAGAAAAACAAAAATGTGATATAAGCAATCGAGTCAAATCTAGTAAAATATTAATAATGACAGATGATGGCAATACTTATAATAATAACGGTGATATTGTTATTGATGTTGATAATGATAATAATGACGATGATAATGATGTTAAAGATATTGCATTGGAATCTGGTCACAATGTTGACAATACTGATATTGATAATAATAATGTTCGATCATCATCATCATCATCGAATGATAAAATTGAAACGAAAACAAGCCAAAATGTTGAACAATCTAAATCTAAAAAACATAATGATGATAATAATAATGAATTACAGATGAAACAATTGTTAAAATTTATCAAGAAATCTTCACCTGAAATGCTTTTCCTGTTGGATAAAAGTGCTCAACTAAGCTATCAGATGGCATTGTTTGAAAGAAAATTGGATTATTTGGAAAAAATTTTTATAAATAACAACAATACAAACAATAATAATAATAATAATAATAATTCGGATAATCCGTATGAAAATGATGATGATTCATTACTTTGGTCGAAAGTAATTAATCGTACACGTGCTTGGATTGCTGATTCACGTAAAAAGAATATTTTTCTTACGAATTATGAATTAAAACAATTGGCTATGAATAAAACATCGAAAGAAAAAATATTGGAAGAATGGAAAACATTGGTAGCTAAGAATAATAATGAACAAAAACCGTTGAAAATGTTTACCGCCGAAAATTCAATGAATGCTGCAATGAACACTACAAACAGTGTTATTGAATCGACGACGACGACGACACGACAACTAATGAATTGTCATCATATACAAGTCTTTCATCTAAAGATGAGCTAATAATGTTACTCGATCAGATTGCTCAATTTTCATCAAATATTATTTCTAAATCACGTAAAAAACAATCGCATAATTCCAGTGAAAATAATATGAAACAAAATGACGAATATGATGATCTCAATGTTAGTGCAAGAGATGGCGCTACTGAATTTCATGGTGATAATAATGACGATTCATCAAATCAAAATCAAACAAACAATTGTGAAAAACAACAAAATGCAAATCAATCAATGATGGAAGAGAATGATCCGAAATCATTTTTACATCGATTATTGATAAATAATCGAATAAGTAATAATGAATATGATGATAATGATGATGAATGTATACAGAAAAGAAAAAACGAACATTTATTGGAACGATTAAAACCAGATATATTGCAAGCATTAGTACAGATAATCAAAACCAATTCACTTCTAGTCCAAGTTCAACGTGAATTCGATATACTTATGTGTGCACATTTGAAATCTTTTAGTCGTTCGTTAAGTAAACAGCAACAACAACAACAACAAGTTACGCATCATCATGGTCATAATGATGTGAATCAAATTATAATGGGAACATCACCACCATTATTATCATCATTACCATTGTCTTTCAATGGTGGTTGTGAATATCAGCAACAACTATTGACGAAACGAATTAAATCCAATTCTTCGAATCAAAATAAATTACGGACAACGCAACAACAGCAGCAAATTTTTAATGTTAACAATAATAATAATGGCAATAAATCAATGGCGGCTAGTCATCCTGCTAGTTATAATTGCTGTATGAATAATATGAATCAAACATTGAATCCAAAATTATCGCAAACACAAACAAATCGTATGATGGTGGATGAATTAACACAATATGTTGGTGATTGTTGTATGGTCAATAAATTATCACAGAATAATAATTTCGTTTCCGATGGTGATTCTGGTGGTGAATTCACAGCTACAACCGTTACAAATGATTTCAATCAATGTGTCACCGATGATGAATTATCATCATTATTAAATCAGATTGCACTTTGTTCGCAGAAAATTATTGAACAAAGTGAAAATAGTACTGGTGGTGTCACAATCAATAATACTGCAAATAGTTCAAGCAATAATAGTACAAGCAGTAGTGGATGTTGTTGTAGTACTAGTATTGATGCAAAATGTTGTAGTATTTCCAATCATCATCATCAACAACAACAACAACCATCACAACCACTTCCGATGACACCATCTACATTGGCACTTCGATCCCAACATTATCGTCAAATTGGTAAAGATCCTATTTCACCATATATTGATCAAATGATGATAAATTCACAAGAAATAGGATTACCAGATAGATACTATTATATGAATCCAACTGGTTCAGTACAGAATCTTGCTCGTAATCATGCGAATTATCATTCGTCACCAATTCGTACATATGCAAATTCTATGTCTTTCAATAATCATCATCATCCTTTTCATCATCATCACAATCATTTATTGAATCATCATGATGAAAATATTTTAGATTCACAACAACCAATTTTTAATGAATCAATGAAAAAATTGAATAATTGTTATTCATCTCCATCATCGAAACGAATATTACATGAACAATATCTTGGTTGTCCATTGGAAGAACCATTGATTGATCGTGTTTCAAACAATATGACTGGATTCATGCTTGCATCATCCACATTCGATATGTTGTCACCACATCATGTTGATCATAATCCAAATTATATGGCTGCCAGACATCGTTCAAGTCTTGGCCAACATCAAAATCAATTTCATCATCTTGATCATCGACAATCGGTAGATGGTCAATGTTTAAATGATCCAATAAATGATTGTATCAATCCTACCAATGCATTTATATTTGATCCTAATGTTGATGTTGAAAGTTTTCTAATGGAAGTTGAAAAAGAATTGGATGAAAATCGTTTTACATCTGCACCACCATTTATGAATCCTGCAACTGATTTCGATAATGGAACACCAACACATCATAATAGGAATAATCATGTCTATAATGGTCGATCATCTCATCATCATCAACATTATAATCATCGTTGTTCATCTATGAATCGATCAACGAATCTACGAGATGAATGTTGTCAACGACGATCATCTACTATAGTACAACCACTAGCATCTTCATCACCGCTACACAGAAATGAACAATCAATTTCTAAATGTAGTCCTGGATCGTATCCATCACCTCTAGTCACCAATAATAATGCTACATCAACAATGCATACACCATTAATGAGTTCGATACATTCAGATCATCAACGTAATCATTTTAATCATAATAATAATAATGAAAATCATCATCATCATCATGTAGATTGTTCAAATGCACGATATTCAGATCATCAATCGTTGATATTAGCTGGTGGTAATTGGAAATTAAGCCAACGTAATTCCATCAATGATTTTGGCCGTTTCAATATATCGTTAGGTAATCTATCTAACAATAATAATAATAATCAATTGAATGGACATCAACAACATTTTTCATCAACAATGACATCAATGATGGCATCAAATGGATCGATACAACAGCAACCATCATCATCATCAACAACAACAAACACAGCTATGATGACAGATCAAACAAAAATTTCTCATGATCTATTAGATAAATATCGAACACAAGTATCATATCGTGTTAATGAAGAAACTGATCGTCAATTGAAAGAAATTGATCAATGGCTTTATAAACATCTGGAACAGACTCAACAACAACAACAACAGCAATCACCGAATCGAACAAACATCAACAACAACAATAATAATAGCAGCCGTTTACATTTAAATCAAGATATTGGATCCATACGACAACAACAACAACAACAACAGCAAAAATCGACTACAACAGAAAGGCAACAAAAATAACAAAAGATACATTTTCATTAATTCGAAAATTCTGCAGTTGACATATTGTTCATTTATATTCTTGATTTCAAAATTTCAATTTCAATGGCTAGCAATCAACAAATTCACTCACACAAAATGCCAATTTTTATCATTGTTTAAGTAAGGCATGAAAAAAATCAAGGACCAAATACAGATCATCAAATAATAATTTTAGACCAAAAAAAATCCATCCACTGTTGTTTGAAAAAAAAAATTCTTTTAAACGAATTTTGTTTGTTTGTTTTTTCTCTCTATATTCTTGTTACCATTGGGTCCAGATTTTTAGATCATTTTCATTCAGTTGGTGGTACATACACACACAATCACAATGCCTCTGATAATAATCGATTTATAGTTTTTTTTCCTTTCTATTTCATAGTATTTTGTCATCGTTAATGATTAAGCGAAACAACAAAACAAAAACAAAAAAAAATTTTAATTATAATTGCTGTCTGTGATTTACATTATTATTATTATTATTATTGAGAATATTATTTGATCGATCAATTCGATTCGAATAATGGATAATCAATGTCGAATGATTTTTTCTCTTTTTCTTTTCTCATTTTTTTTTGCATTGTTGAAAATATGTCTATTGTGCATTTGATTGATGAATGGTGATACAAAAATGAATCAAATCAAATTCTTTGATTCTTTGTTCATTTGTTCATCATTTGAAATTCAAAAAAAACAATGATTGTATTATGCACCGCCTTGTAAATCAATTATAAGCATCATGTAAATCATTTGTTTTTCACGAATTTTGAAATACTTATTTCCTTTCAAACAAACATACAAACAAACAAACAAATAGAATGAAATCTTATTCCCTTTGCTCTCTACTGATTATAGCCTATTTTTATTGACTGAACATTTGTGTATGTAATAAACAACAAACAACAACAAACAACAACAACAACAACAACGACAACAAATTTAATGTCTGAATCAAATTTGTTTTTTTAAAATCAAGTGATACAAGCCAATTCCAATTTTAACATGAATTTTTCTTTTTTCCCCCGATGACACACACAATTGTATTATTTTTTTTTTTTTTTTTTTTGTTTTTTTTCGCATTTTTTCTTGTCACAAAACACACACAAACACACACACAATTCATCATTTTTTTCCTTTCTCACTCATCAAATCAAAACATAAGATTCTATTTGTTTTTGATGATTTTTGTTTGATTATTAATAAATTAAATTTATCTTGAATTACACATGAATGTTGTGTTGTTTTTTTTGTTGGATTTTATTTGTTTTTTTTTTTTGATTGATTATGGTGAATTAAGGAAAAATAATGAACGATAATACAAAAGATAGATCGAAATAGAATTTATTTGAAATGTGAAGAAGAAAAAAAAAAGAAAATCATGATGATGTTTGCTGATTGTTGTTTTTGGCTATGATTGTTGCAAAATAAGAAATGTATCGGATTCCAGGTGCATAAATGTGTGTGTTTGTGAGTGAGTGTTTTTGTTTTTTTTTTATTTATTTTATTTAGGATGACCAGGTGCCTTCTGATATGCTGTATGCGGATAATTTGGCTGAACATGTACATTTCGTGGTGGTGGATATTCATCGGTTATATGATTTGCCGTATAATAACAAAAATATACGGTAACCATTAATGCCATTAGAACGGCCACCGCTCCTATTGTAATGCCAGCAATGGCTGCTGGACCTAATTCACCTGTTATTTATGGCCCAAAAAAAAACAAAAACAAAAACAAAAAATAGAAGAAAAATTTAAATCATAAGAAATAATCATGAATATATTATAAATTAATGTATAATAAAATTTTCAATATTTAATTGATGAATCAGAACCATTTCGATAGTTTTGTTTAGCTGATTGTCTATTGAAAATTTTGGAGACGAACCTCGTCGTTCACCATAACGATTTTGGCCAAAATCATATGCACCACCAATATATGCTTGGCCAAAAACCAGTTGAATTGCCGTTACAAATATGGCTAGATAAAAATATAATTTCATTGTGATTTTTAATTGATAATTTTTTTTCACGATTACAAACAAAAACAAATTTCGTGTTGGCGAATTTTGAAAAATGGAATTTTTTTTTTTTTTTTTTAGATTACACTCTAAAAAGACACAAAAGACAAATGAACATAGAAAACAGGAAATTGCGTTGTATGATGCTTGTACACAAATACTAATAATATAACGGTACACTAAATAAAGCAAAAAAAAAAAAACTGCAATAATCATTTACTGTAAGTTTTGTTCTGGTATATAAAAAAAACCTCACCTAGTAACCAAAGAAAAACAAAAATTATTTTTTTTTTCGATATTTCCGAAATGGTATATATAGACAACCAAATGTTACTATGGATTATAATGATCATTTATCAATTTTTTTTTTTTTTGATAAATATCACCATAGCATCCAACAACAACAACAACAACAACATTGCATCTATAGATTATTATCAATCATTGTCGATTCAACAGTTACTCACGATATCATCGACAACCATAATCAATTCAAAAAACAATACATTGAATCATAAAACCAAAAACAGAAACAAAAAGTATGAATCAAAACTTTTTTGTTATCGTATGAAAAAAACGAATTTTCAAGAAATCAGTCATTATCGAACCAAGTGGAAAAATAAAAATGAAAAATTCCATAAATTCATCTCAATCCATTCATAATTATTGTTTGTTTATCAGATTAGAATCTATGATTACACATCAATTTCTTTATTGTATTTTTTTTACAAAGAATCATCATCAACTGTTGTTTTGGATCCAAAAATATGGCCACATTTTTTGGATCAAATGATTTGCTATTTTTGGTTTTTATTTGTTAATAATTTCTCTCTCTCTCTCTCTCTCTCTCTCTCATGGCCATCTATTATTTTGTTGTATTATTATATCGAATCCAATAGATCATTTCAACAACGTTTATCACCATCAACTACTACTACTACTGTTTTTTTATGCACACAGAAAAGAATTGAATACAAATTCATCATAAGAAAACAAAGCAAAAATAAAAAATTTTTCATCGATAATAATTAAAAATAGACCTTGCATGCACACACACACACACACACACACACACACGCATTGACACTTGATTTTGTGCTATCTGATAAATATTGATGCGTTGCTTTGGATACGCAAGAATGATTTTTTTTTCTCATCCCATTTATTATTTTACCCGTATTGGAAATTTTTATTTGTAAACACCATCAACAAGAGAAAGAGAGAGAGAGAGAGAGAATGTCGACCCGAATGATCTATTTTTAGGTTCCAAAATAATGAACACGCACATACATAAATTTTCATTTTGTTTTTTTTTGTTGAAAATTGAACAAACAAACAGAAAAAAAACCGAATAACTGATGAAATGATGGCTGATGAACCAGAAAAAAATGTGAATATTAAATGAAGCAAAGTAAAATCAAAAAGACGAAAAACGAAAATGAAATGACGAAAGAAAAATGTGAGGAAAATGGAGAAAAATAAAAATCTTTTCACCTGTCTATTAAATCATCTGCATCGTGTTCTTTTTTTTTGCTTTCAATTTTTCTAATCGTCCATTTTTAACATCGAAAATTTTTTTTTTCATGAATCCATTTTATTTTTAGAAGTTTTTCTTGGATCATTTATCAAAAAACGACTACAACAACAACAATAATAAATACACAAACAACAGGTGAGAGTGAAAATCGATCGGTGAAAAAAGAAAAAAAATTTTCCCATTCCCGAAATTAGAATGTCAATCGTCAATGATTTTTATATGTAAAATAAAGAAAAAAAAGAGAGATCCTGGAAAAAAGGAAAGTTATTGACTCTTTATGAATGTAGAGAGAGAGATCTCAGTATCGGACTCTTTCAGTTTCAACTGTTGTTTACATTCATTCAATCGAATAAGGTCATCTGGTCATCATTTTCAATTTTCAACGGTTACTGGTATAAATTCATATGGTATAAAAGAAATGAAAGAGAAAGCAAGTGATGAAAAACCAAAACCAAAAAAAAAAATATATGAACAAAGAAAAGAGAATAATACAATGGGCGTTTCTGATTTTTTTTTTTTTCATTTCACTAATTTCAGTTCTAGTCTTGTTGTTGATGATGATCCAAGATGATGACAACGGTTGTGCACTCTTAAATGAGTATAATATGCTTAAATGAGCAAGTGTCCATGTACTCAGGTATTCAGTCCATTACGGTGGTCCAAATCCAATATCGACACCATTAAACAGTTGATCATTGCCGCTGTTTGTTATAATAATAATCGAATTTAAATTTTTAAATTTTTTTTAATGTGTTTGTGTAGAGTGTAAAAGATCGAAAAAATTAATGAAACAACAAAATGTCTTCAAAGTTTTTGATTCAAACATATTTTAATCATCGATTCTTGATTGCACAACATAATTATCGTTCATTATGTATAATGATCGTTTATTGTATTCTATTAATCATATTATCATCATCAATGTTTATTGAACAAGCTGATGCATTTATATTTTGGAAAGCCAAAACAACAGCATGCGATATATGTGATGGTGTTGATACGTATTCCGGTCGTAATGTTATGTGCTGTTTTCTATCATCTAAATGTTGTGGGTAAGTTTTGTTTTGTTTTGGTTTTTTTCTGGTTTGGGAGTATTTTTTTTTTTAATTTCTTTCTCCACTTTTTATCTAGTTATAATAATATTGATGATCTCGAATCGGCCCGTATCAACATGACTACAGCAACAACAACGTGAATGTCAATTAGGAATATAGAATTTTGAATTCATCATAAAATGACCAACACACAACACAACGAATGTTACCGTTTTTTGCCATTGAAAATTAGTTTTTTTCTCTACATTTTCTCTCAAAAATTAGTAAACAACTACGACAATTTAACTGATGATTAATTTATTATTCGAATTTAGTGGATTTTTCACTTGTTTATTGGTACTTTTTTTTCACCTACTACGCAGGTGTATGCGTGAATTTTTTATTTGTTTGTTTCTGTTTACCCATTCATCATTTATAATGTATTTAAAAATTTTCGTACAATGGAAAAAAACATTGAAATAAAAATAAAAAATAATAGAATTTGATATCCAATTGGCGCACACACACATGCACACACAAGAATCGTATTTTCATTACATTGCAAGAATTTTGAAAATTTTTAATTAAAAAAAAAATAATCAAGTTACATACCCGAAATGTATTTTTTCCCGAAAACAAAAAAAGAAAAAAAAATTTTGTCCAAATAATCAAAAAAAAAGAAACAGAAATAAAGAGATCCAGTATTGTTTTGTTTTTGATTAAATAATATTGATTGGTGTGTGTGTGTGTGTATGTGTACAAAGAATTTCGGTGTAATTGTCAAATGTTTTTTTTCTGTTCAAAAAAAACCAAAAGATTCCCATTTCGATTCATAGCTGCATTTCAACATGTATTCATCTGGCCAATATCATTTTAGGTAATGTTTCTATTATTATTTTATCACCATCCATTATACTTTCTTGTGCATCAAGATCTTCATCTCTATCGACAACAGTGTTCATGTTGAATAAATTTTTTGAATATAATGTTGTTGTTGTTTTGTTTTTATTCTTTTATTATCATCACCATTATCATTATTATTATAATCATCATCTTCTTTTTCTGGTTGTCCATTTTTATCGACAATCAAATCTGTTGTCATTGTTGTTGGATCTGGATAATATTCATTGGTCATTATTGGTGGATTTAAATTTGGCATAAATTCCAATTGTTTTTGTATATTTGTTGGTAAATGCCAATGACGTCCACTTACTCCACGTGTACCGCCCAAAATGAAACTGGATAAACCGACCGGTAATTTGGTTTTATATTGCCATCGTTGATTATTTTGATGATGATTGAAGCTGTTTTTATTCGTTAATAATGTTGATGATGTAGTTTTTCTTGATTTACCACGATTTATGCTTGTAGCGGTATTTTCAGCTACATCATCATCATCATCACCATCATCTGACCTGCTGCTATATGGATTGATTGCTTCGTCTACAGTTGGATAACTACTTTTATCGATTTTATCAATGTTGATGTTGTTTTTAGCTACAACAATGTTGGTGTCATTGGCATTATTAACTTGTTTAACCGATGTAGTTGCCGATGCTTCCATTAATGGTAAATTATCAAAATCAGCACCATCAACTGGTATTAATGTTATTTTATTCTTGTCAAATTGTTCAATTCGATCAATTTGATTTGATTTCATCATTGTATTTAATTTCAAATCTTTTTCATTATTCAAACTAAAATCATACCATACTTCTTCAGGAATTTGATCAAATTTGTTCGGTTGTTGTTGTTGTTGATAAATCAATGGTAATGGTGTGAAAAAACTAGCCAATGAACTTGGTTGTTGATAAATAATTGGTTGAAAATCTTTTGGTGGTAATACATAAACCGGATAAGTTTCCGATGATGCTAATGGCCGATTTATTGCCGAAGATGCTTCAGAAGTAATTTTACAGCGAACAGATTGAGCATTATTATCATTATCATTATCTTTATTATTATTATTATCTTTAGTTGATAAAGTATCAATTCGTTTTTGAAACATATTCTGATTGATACCATATCGATGATTGTTTGCTGCTGTTGTTGTTGTAATATAATGTGCGAAAGATTGGCATTGCAGCTGTAAAGGCAATTGGATAACGTTGTGAACTCCAACGTATTGTTGTGATCAATGGTGATGAATACACTGGAATGGCTGATGGCTGTATTGAAGTTGATGATGATGATGATGATAATGACCGATAAGGAATTGGATAAATATTCTGATGTGCAATATACGGAATTAGAGCTGGCATCATAGATGTAGATGTAAAAGGTCGATATAATGATCCAATTGTTAATGAAGTAGTTGCAGGAGATGCTGGATTGCCATCATTGTTGATTTTAATATTTTCCAAGGACAATGATGATGATGATGATGATGATGATGATGATGATGATGATGATGAGGCAATGATGATGACGAACGTTGTCGACGAACAATGGCAATATTTTTCACCATTTTTGTCGCATCTATCATCATAATTACCATTGACCAAAACAAGATGATATGAATGAACAATTTCTTCATTTTTTTTTGTTTTGATTAAAATTTGCCGTAAAAATATTCAAAAAAAATTTCTTTTGTGTACTTTAAATTATTATATTATCTTGGTAGATTTGTCAAAATTGTTGAAATAAATGATGGTTAGTTATTTGATGTCTGGATATTAATAATGAAAATTATTTTCAAAATGAATAGGGTACATGGCAAAAAAAACAGAATGAAGAGAAGATATTTTTCTTTCATACAAAATTTTCAAACAAGCAATCAAGCATGCTTGAATTGGAAAAAGATGAGAAATTCCAGATTCAAGTTTTTGCTATTGATGGATAGAAAGATAGCAAACAAACAAATAAAAAAAAATCAGTTTGTCGTTAATGTTGAACAACCACAACAACAACAACAACAAATCTTTAATTCAATTCAATTTTGTTTTATTTCCAAAGAAAAAAAAACAAATGAATTTTCGAATTTCAAATTGAAGATGGTAGCGGTGGTGGTGGTGGTGGCGGTAGTGGCGGTAGTGGTGGTGGTGTTGATGGTATGATGGTTTTTTCTTGTTGTTGTCGTCTTTGTCGTAATTACTATACACTGATAAATTTTTATGAAAGAATCGTTTTGGCCAAAAAAAAAAACAAAGAACAATTGTTTTTGTGTATGTGTGTGGTGTGGTGATAAATGTTTTTTGAATTTTTTGTTTCTTGTTCTTTTCCCCTTATGAATAATAATAATAGTCAATTAAGATTCGATTTTGTCGTTTGCGTTTTTGTTTTTCTCTTCTCTCTCTCTCTCTCTCTCTCTCTCTGTCGCTCGATCTCATAAATGGCGCCAAAAAAAAAATAATGAAGAAGAAGAAAAAATGGCTACTTCAATGGAATATTCAATAATTTTAGCATGATCCAGAAATCAGTGAAGCAAAGACAACAAAAAAAATTTATTTCTTCAATAATTTTCCTCTGTCTCAGACAATGATGACGATGATGATGCTATTTTGTTGTTTTTATTCAGGATATTTATTTGTAGATGTGTGGGTGTGTGTGTGCAAACAAAAAAATGGATTGTGTTCAATGCGATATAATTGTTATTGTCGTGCTGTATTCACAATGAAGTGTCAAATACGATGATGATGATGATGCCAAGATAATTGATGTTTTTTTTGTTTGTTTGTTGGTGAAGGGAAAAAATTACAAAAAAAGGAAATTAATTTCTCATATGTGCAAGTTTAAAAAACAAAAACAACGGGTAAAAAATTTTTTTTCTGATACCTACAATTCTATTAAGTGATTGAATGAAACAAAAAAAAATGTTTAAAATTCAAAACACACACACACTGAAATGAAATGAAATTGAATTTGAAATGAACAAATGAAAAATTTTGTTGCTGAGTTTTTATACTCGCACACACACACACACACACACACACAGAAAAAAAGATGTTAATAAGTTTGGTAAAAGGGTAACATCTTTGTTTTTGTTTTTTTTATTGTTTTTTACATTAAGTTGTTAATATATGTTGTATATATGTGATCAAGTTTTGATTGATGAGATTTATATTTTACAAAAATATATCAAAAATGAATGAATGAATGCTATATATATTGGCTGTTCGATGATCGATGTGTTTCATTCATTCATATATTTGATTAAACACCATATGGATTAAAATGATTTTTTTTTCTTAGCAGATGAAAAAAAAAGAATTCCACTATTTTTGGCATCAGAATGTTAAATCTTGATGATGATGATGATAAATTTACCAACTCACACACACACACCCCAACATATGCAATCACATTCAAGATTTTTATCGATATTCACTGCTATTTGTTGTTGTTGTTGATCCAAACTTGATTGTCGACATTGTGTGTGTGTGTGTGTGTGTACGGCAATCATGATGGACGATGAATAGAAAAAAGGTCTGGGTTTTTTCTTCTTATTTTCTATTTTTTTTTTTCACAAGAAAATTTTTTCTTTTCGGCGTCTTTATTTCTGTATGATATTTGTTGTTGTCCGAAAAAAAACCGAAAAAAAAAATTTTCATCCAACTCAGAATGAACTCTCATCGTATCGACCAGAAAGTTCAAGATCTCCTCTTTTTATTTGGACATGATAATGTACACACACACAAAAACAGACATTACCACATTCAATCGATTCTTAATGCATATTTATGATCAAAATGATTGACCGTTCGATGACCGTTTGTTCATTTTTTTACATTTGGATTATGATTTCTGTTATTTTATTCTATTCGGTTTTTTTGACCTTTTATCAAAATCATGAACAAGCAGCCATCAAATGTCCATCATCATCAACAACAATCATATAATTGGAGAAAAAAAAGATAATGACCATTGGAGAAATAAATTCAAAATCAATTTATTCATGATTTTTGTATTATATATGAACAACAAGTTTGTTCTTGCTTCTTTCTTCCTTTTTGTTTTCTCTATACTCATGAAGGGTAATAATCCTATATATTTTCTATTTTCAACAATATTCAATGTTCGTGTAATCGAAAACTGAACAGAAAAATTGATTTCATAATTTGAAATTGCAAATTTTCAAATTTTTTTTTTTGAACAGATTCAACAAATAAACTATTTTTCGATCTGAATCATCATCATCATCATCATTATTATTATTGGGAAAGAGAAAAAAAAGAATGAAAAGCCGATAATTATTAATGTCAAAATTTAATGTTGAAACTTAATATACCAATATATTTGTATTGTAGTGTTTTTTTGGCATTACTTTTTTTTACATCGGATTAATCCATTTTTGTTGTTGTTACTTTTATTATGTTATAATAATAAACTTATTTATAGCAAAAAGAAATTTTGAAAACAGCGGGTTACACACGAGATATTTTGGTAACAAGAGAGCCAAAAAAAAAAATTAACGAAATTCTAATCAATCAAATAAAAATTAGAAACAAAAATCTCATACAATAGGGTTAGGGTAAAGAATTTGTTAAAATTCATATCCATCATCATTCTATGACACAATATTCATCTATCCACCCACACACACACACAACCAATAAATTCAAAATTCTTAAAAATCAATCAATATCCAATGAGAATCCTTAGAGAATAAATTGTACAAATGTTTGACTTTTTGTATGAATTAAAAATGCTGATGAAATCGTTGCCAGGATTCATTCATATGTGTGGCGCTACTGTTCCATTTGTTTGTATATATACCGTGTATTTTTTTCATTCAATGATGTTGAGCACAATGCGAACGTAGGTTGTTGTTGTTGTTGTTATCAAAAAAAAAAAAAAAAGATTTCTATGTAAATTTCGAAAATTACTTCATTTTCATCATCACCAATATGTTAGAATGAAATTATTCCTATTTTTTTTTACATGAATAAAATTCATTCAAAATTCGGATCAAATCACATGAAATCCTCAAGAGAAATTTCAAAAGCAATGGGCAACACAACATTCGACATGTGATTGAATATTGAAAAAAAAAAAAAAAAAATCAATTTCAATCAATTGAATAATTCATGGAAAAATCAATTATAAATTATTCTTAATACAAATATCCATCCATCCATCCATTCAAATAAATCATATTTCAAATGCAGATTTTATAAACAATTTTTTTCTTGGAGAGAAATTCAATTTTTTTCATCATCATCATCATCATAGGCACCATTTTCTTCAACCAAAAAAAAAAAAAAAAAATCATGTGATGTTGACGAATGAAAGGAATCACTACAAATGAGTCATACTCATTTTTTTACATATTATTTTCAAATGATGATGTGAGAGTAAAATTGAAAATTTGCCTGTCTACATGCTTATTTTATACAATTTTAGCCATTTGTTGAAGTTGTCATATATAATAAAGAACTCTTGAGTGCAGCATTGATGGTTGCGAAATCCATTGCTTGTAAGCATATATGTAAGCATACACATGAGTAGTATATATCCAGAATGATCATGCGTTTTTTTTTTATTCAACGCGCCTGTGTATGAGTTGTTTGTGTGTGTGTGTGTGTGTGTGTGTGATGTTTATTGTGCATGGTGAGCTAACAATTTTTTTTCCCATGCATCCATTACAATTTCAATCGATAAGCCACACTTTTGTGAATAGAATCGATTCGATTCATATATTCTAGAATCCGTTATCAGGATTCTATAGTATTCGACAATTTGAAATTTAACTTCAATTCTGTGATTCATTCATCAAGTCGATCAACAATTTGTTTGTTTGTTTGTTTTTTTTCATCGATTCTTGTATTTGTGTGTGTGTTATTGAATACATGCGCTTTATTCTTCTGAATGAATTTGAATAATTTCTTTTTCTTTGAATTTGTTTTCATGTTTTATTTTTTCTTGTTCTAAATACTCTATTAAAAAAAATTTTTTTATCACTTGTTGATCGATCGAGAAACTGAATGCCCAATTATGATGATGTAATCAATCGATTCATTTCATTCACTATATATATATATATATATGTTCAGCATTGTATCGTTTGATAAATGTCATTTCTTCAAAACAATCAATTTGTACATCTTTTTTTTTCGTTACTATTCATCATCCATCAAACAAGAGACCGAATTCATCAATGATTTGATTGTGATATCAACATTTTTTTTTGGGTTTCCATTATTATTATCAATTTTATGGTGATTGATAATCTTCAACTTTTCATATCAAATAATAACATTCAATCAATCATGAAAATCTTGTTGCTGAAAATGAAGAAAAAAATGAAATTTTTTTCAAACAAAATCCATGTCCCCTTGAAATAAATAACAAATCGTCGAATAAATAAATAAAAAGTAAAGTCGACAATCTTATCAAAAGCAAGAAAAAAAAAGTTTTTCTATTGCTTTCAATCTATATACATATATACAATAATAATAGTTTGGCTATCCGCTTTTCATTTGCAAAAAAATTATATAAATTCTAAATTTGATCATCTTTTTTTTCCCAATTTTTTGTTTCTGGTTTGCTTACGGCAATTATATATATCGCTATTTTATTATTATTATAACATATCACATTGTGCACGATTAATCTTTCGTTTAGCATTTTTTTGTTTGTTTGTTTGTTTGTTTGAATTCGGTTTTCCCTGACACATCTTATTTATTTTGTTTTGTTTTGTTTTTTTTTATTATTATCTCTATTCCACGCACATTATTTTGTCCATTTTTGTTTCCACTATTCATTCATCAATTTTGAAATTTTTTTTTTGCTGAATTATGTCATCCAGTGTATTGAACAACAATGAAAACGGCAACGACCGAATTGATAATGATACAATTGATGATGATAAAATAAATTTGAATAAAATACGAATTTTATATGCATCACAAACTGGCCAAGCGGAAAGTATTTCACAGCTCATTTATGATCAATTATGTGATTCAATTAATCAATCGATATTGTTTCCAAGTGGCCAGATTTTGATTTATGCAATTATCTAAAACGTTTTTGTGTTAGTGATTATGATAAATTGACTACTGATTTTTGGAAAACAATTAATAATAATAATAATAATAATAATAGCAACAAAATAACAACAAAAAATCATCATCATCAAATTCTTGTTCTGTGTGTCATACTAATAATAAAAAAAATTTATTAATTATTGTCGCATCGACCACTGGACAAGGTGATCCACCCGATAAGGCAACAAAATTCTTTCGATGGCTACGACGTTTAAAACGAGAAAACAAGCAAACAGAATTCAAACATTTAACATATGCATTGTTGGGCCTTGGCGATACAAACTACGATAATTTTGCCAATTTTTCTAAACAATTGAACAAATTTTTCAAAGAATTAGGAGCAATACCATATATTGAACCAGGTTCGTTTGTCACGATCATCATCATCAAGGATTATCATCGATTCTATATAATTGATTGATTTTGAAAATAATAATACAATTGACATTTTTGTCTTTTTTTTTCTCTCTCTCTCTCTCTCTCTCTTTTGATCTTTATTTGTTTTCATCAATAGCTTTCGCTGATGATGCAGTCGGATTGGAATTAGTCACTGAGCCATTCATTGAAAATTTGATTGCCACAATTGTGCAACATTTGGAGAAATCAATTGTGGCGAAAAACCCTTGTTGTTGCCATTTAAACGATACAAATAACGACAATCTACATAGTAAATGTGAAAAGGATCATCATTCTGAATCATTGATGATTAACTCAACAGATGCAATAGACAACAACATCATAATCGAATCAGTTACTGTCGTGAACGAATCCAACAAAAATATTAATTCAACTACATCGGTGGACAATTCATTTATCAATGTTAGTGATATTGAAAAAGCAATCAACATTAATACAGATATAATGAACATAAATCGGCCAGTAGTATCATCATGTATATCATTGACCAGTTCTGACAAATGTAACCTTAGTGATATTTGCCGACAATTGGTCGAACCATCTGCTCAATTGGAATCGATTGTCGATATTGAACAATTGAATCTTCCAAAAATTCCACTATCATCATCATCATCATCAAAGGAAGGTAAACCGTATAGTAGTTTTATTTATAGTCAAAAAAATCTTGGACAACTTCCATTCTATTCTTATGATAAAACATCAACAATTTCTATGAAAAATTTTCTCACTAATAAACTCAATAATGCGGATAGCACTTTGAATATTGGACAGGTTAGCCTGTCGAAAATTCTTTGTAAGTAATGAAATGTTATTTGTTCATTTGTTTTTAATAATTTTTTTTCCATTTCTTTAGTTAATGATAATTTACCGTCGACAACTTGTTGCCATCGACGAAAAACTCTACTTGAATGTGATGTTGAATATGAATTATTCGAACCATATAAACAGAATGATTGGTTTGTACCTGGTGATTCATTCGGATTCTATAGTGCAAATTTATTGATTGATGTATATCAAGTGATACGATCAATTAAAGTTAAATGTTCTGTTTATGGTGATAATGATGATGATGATGATGATGATTCGATTCTGCTTTGGGATTATTTTAAGAGTAATAGAAAACAAGTTTTTGTCGTATTGAATGATCAGGTAAACATGAAAAATGAATGAACTAATATTTTATTATCTTATCTTGTTTTTTTTTTTTTTTGATACAGAATACTATTGTTGAATTATTACCATATCTATTTTATGGTGTTGATCTTCGTACGATACCAAAAAAAGCTACATTATGCCATCTGGCTCAATATACAACCGATGAACAACAAAGGCGACGATTATTAGAGTTGAGTAGTAGACAAGGAAATCTTGAATATCAAAAATTGATACTTGGCCAAAGCATTACTATTTGTGATATATTACGTTTATTTGACACTTGTCATCCACCTATTGATGTACTTTTTGCTCATTTAATCACGGCAAAGCCTCGTTATTTTAGTGCATCAAATGTGCCACGAATTATACAACGAAATCTTGATTCTAGTCGTAATAATAACCATGATGATGATGGTGATAATAATGATGATGATAATCCATCTTCAACATTGATTGATCCATTTTATAAATGTAAATTTAAAATCATGTTTTCCGTTTCTACCAATTTTTCTCATACATTTATGCGAACATCTGAAAATTTACTAGGCTTGTTTTCTGGAAAATTTTTCCGTGTAAGTTTCTGTTTAATTTTTTGAAAAGTTCAAATATTTTTTTTCATTATCATTTTTCGTTCAATAGCATTACGATTTTTTACCTAAAAATTTTCAAGTCAATATAACGTGTTCAAATGTTTGGAAAACAATCGAATTAATACACGAAAATGTTTTAAATGGCAATATATTCGATAATCAAGATGTTACATTATATCAATCTATGTCATTTCCTGTTTATTTATTTCAAAGACCCAATAAAACATTTCGTATGATACCACGTGAATTATCATTGAAAAGACCATTGATTTTAATAGCTACCGGTACTGGTGTAACACCATTCATGGCCTATCTCGAATTATTAAAAGATATTTTATCTGTGTATAAAAAAGAAAACAATGTCAATATTAATGAATAATCATCATGATCATGATAATGATCACTTAACCGATAAATTGATCACTATTAAAGATAATTCACGATTATTACATGAAACTTTTTTCATATTTGGTTGCCGCCATCCTTATCAAGATTTTGCTTATTCTGATCATATAATTTCATTGTATAAAGATCAACCATCAATAATAAATCATCTATGTCTATGTTTTAGTCGAGCAAATTGTTTGGATTTATTGAAATTTGAAATTGAATCTCAAATTAATCTTTGTTGTATGGCAAAAATAAATAATGATAATGATAATGAGAAGAATATTGTTTCAACACAATCAAGTTCAACAAGTGTTGAACAACATTACAATAACTACTATAATGGACAAGAGCAACAACAAAAATTGCAAAATGAAACTGATTCACAGCCAAATATTATTAAACATGTTGATGAATTAATACGAATACATGGTGAAGAATTGACAGATTTGATTATTAATCATGATGCCATTATTTATATTTGTGGTAATTGGAAATTGATCACACAAGATATTAAACAAGCATTCTGTGACATTCTTAATCGATATCATTTTGATTTAAATGTAAATCAAATTGGCAAAGATGATGATAAATTATCCAATAATTATTCATCAAAAACAATGAAACAAACAAATGAAGCAATGAAATATTTAAAACAATTACAACAGAATGGACGATTCGTACAGGATATATGGACCTGAATAAGGTGAATTTTCATGGCTAAGAATAAGTTATAGTTATCTTGAAAAAAATCTTATGTTCTCCGATAATCTAAAAAAAATTGAATGGCCTTGATCACAATAGTAATGATATTAAACATATTTTTTTCTATATATCATTCTGTTTCATTGCAACAATGAATTTCAATGAAAAAAAAAAATAAATACAATATCGTAATCGATTGTTATTGTCGCTGATTACCGTTGTTTATAAATGATTCGAATAAAATTTGAATTGAATAATTTGATCGAAAATTTTCTTTTTTTTTCTACATTTTATTTTCTATAATGAATAAAAAACAATTCATTCATTCGAGATTATTGTAAATGGTATCCGAATAGCCGAAAAAAAAATTCCCATCATCATGATCGTGTGAATTGAAGTGAAGCATTATAAAATAGAAAATCAAATTGAATTGAATTGATTATTTATTTAGTTCAATCCAAAATACTGGAGCAAGAACTAAAAACAATCTTTTTTTTAAAAAAGAAAAACTGTGATAATGATAAGATTAATGGGGAAAAAAAATTTCCAATTAAATACTATCGATCGATGATCCTAAAAAATTAATCTAAATCTAAAACTGATCAAAAAAAAAAAACACACACACACACACACACTAAACACCATCTAGTGTCAAGTTTGTTCAATTCTTATTTTTATTGATTGATTAATTGATCGAGATATATAATGATGATATTACATTGCAATCTGTATGTTCAATTCACTGCGTAATACAATTGCAAAAAAAATAATAACGCATGAAGCAACAGGTTATTAAAGCAAAGCATTTTTTTTGGACCACGCCAAATGATGGCCAACAACAATAAAAAAAAATTATAGATTAATCTGGTAAGAATTTTTTTGTTGTTGTTGTTGTTGTAAACACACACACACACGAACAATGAAATTTACTAGAAATTTAATGGTAATTATGAACAATAAACAAAACAAAAAAAAACTATGACAATGGAAAACATTTTTTAAGAATAATGATGACCATGAAGGATGTTTGTTTCCCTCATGGATCACATAATGTTGGATTACATTCCAACAAACAATCATCAATCCATCTTTGCGTCCGTTTTTTTTCTTGTTGAATGGCATCTAATCTAAAATAACAATGTTGATGATGATAATGATAATAATTTTGAAATAAATTCAATGATAAAAAAGATTAGCCATTTAAAAAAAAATCCTGGATCATCTTCATTGACATCTCGTGAAACAGGAGGACATGGATTTAGATGTGGCGTAGTTTTTTTTCTGGATCTTTTATTATTATTATTATTGATTTATAGATTTATTGATTTTTTTCTCTCAAAACGTGTGACGTTGGAATTAAATAACATTGTTACCTTGTTTGATTAATCAATATAATGGACAGAAAACAAAAAAAAAATTTATGAATAGGAATATATCACTGCCATCGGCATTATTGTTTTTTTTATTGTTGTTGTTGTTGTTGTTGTTGTGATTATCATAATCCAGTCAAGTTAATGTGCTGATGCTAGGTCATATAGAATCCTGATTGAATATATCATTATTATATATTCATAATATAATACACACACATACACACTAAGAGTAATGAAAAATCATCAATCAAGGATTATCGACATATTGTTGTTGAAATTGTTGTTAATTCCTTTTTATCTTATTATCAGGATTATTGGATATATATTTTTTTCTTTTGTCACTCTTTATCACATCAAGATTTATAGCAGACAAGATTAATGTTTCAATTGCATTTTGAATTGATATAAAAATCAGTTCAAAAAAAATTTGAACATTATCATTTTATTATGATGTAAATTATGCAATCGGATCATTATTGAAAATTTATCGTCATTTTTTTCTTTGTGTTCCAATTCAAAGTTTACTTTTTTTTTAAAATAGTAATTGAAACATTACAATCAATGTTAATTTGTTTTTTTCCACAATTATCTATTATCGTGTGAATGAAAATGATGAAGTTGGCAAAAAATAATAATGATAATCGTTGTCGTTTGGCCACCATCACCACCAATATGACCATTATAATGATGATTTTTTTCATTGTTTTTATCAACGATTCAAATATCGTAATGGCAAATGAAATTCAATCAGCACCGTATTATATGCCATTTGATGAAGCACAAAATATTGATGATATATTGGCAAATTCAAGTCTTAAACATTTTATTCTTGCATTCATATTGGCACCAAACGATAGTCATGATTGTATACCAGCATGGAATGGCCTACGCAATCGTTTAGTTACTGAAGATACATTTATTGCTGAAATTATTGATAAAATCCGTGGCGCAGGTGGCGATGTTTCCATTTCATTTGGCGGTGCATTTGGCACGGAATTGGGCCATGCTTGCCAAACGGCTGCACAATTGGCTGCTGCCTATCAATTAGTTATCGATAAATATAAGCTGACACATATTGATTTGGATATCGAAGGTGATAGCTTAGGTGCTGTTGTTGATGAACGACGTCGTTTTGAGGCAATCAGAATATTGAAAAATAATGCTAGACAAAATGGTAAAAAATTATATGTTTCATTGACATTGCCGACAACAGTGGTCGGAATCAATGATGCTGGCAGAGAGGAAATCAAATTGGCCATTGAACGTCAAGCCGAAATTGACCTTTACAGTCTAATGTAAGTTTTTTTTGCGTTTATTTTTTTTTCTATTCACTTATATCACCATTCACTATTATGCGTGTGTGTGTGTGTGTGTGTGTGTTTTTAAACTTTTACTGAAATGATGACTGACTTACTGACTAAGTTACTGAATACTGTTGCATTTGTTCCAAAAATTTTCAAGAAATCAAACAAATGAATTGAAATGAATGAAACGATGTCGCCAAAACAGAATGAAAATAAAAATTATGATCTCACCTTGATTTTTCTTTTCTTTTGTTATATTTCACTATGGCTATAATGGTACGGCCATTGACCAATGGCCATCTCATTGTCATTATCATCATGATGATCGTTTCATCTCATCATCTATTCATTTTCACAATGTTTCCATTCCCCGTTATCTTTGTTATTTGTGTGTGTGTGTGTGTGTATTTTTGTTTATGTCCTGTTATTATCCATTCCTCTTTTTTTTTATTTTTCTCCCTTATTTTACATTTTCATTGTTTCAATTCACAGGGCATTTGACTTTGGAGCAATGGCCAACAATATGGTTCATACGGTAATCACTGTCATGGAAGCATTCCATCAACAGATCAAATCTATTCACACGGATTGGTCAGATCAAAAAGTATATGAACATACAGGAATGATATTAATGAATGGCCATACAGATCAACCAAGTGAATTGTTCTCACAGCAAACATTTGAAGAACTTATTCAATATGCATCAACACATGGATTATCACGAGTTTCATTTTGGGCTATAAACCGTGATCGTCCTTGTCCTCCAGATCGTCAACATGGCTGGGCTGCCAGTTTCTGTAGCTGTATTGATCAACAAGCATATGATTTTTCTCGAATTTTATCAAAATTTAAATCACAGGAAATTATTACAACATCAATAACAACAACAACAACATCAACAACAACCAAAATACCACAAACAACAACAGAAAAACATCATACCGAATCACGGCCAACAACAACAACAACATCAACAACCAAAATACCTCAAACAACAACAACAACAACAACAACTCATCGTCCAGATAATGATGATGTGGATTGTTCCAAAGTTCCTGGAGGTGAGGGAATTTTTCCTTGTAAAAATGATATTCATCATTTTATTGAATGTTCTAATGGTATCAAATATATTTTTTCATGTCCGGAAAATACTAAATTTGATCCAAAATTATTGAAATGTGTTTGGGAATAATAATTTGTTTTCCATTTTATAGACAAAATGAAAATTTTCATAAAAAAAAAAAAAATAATTTGATTTGATTGTTTTACATTCTTATTATATTATGATTATTATATCAAAAAATTCATAATGTTTTTTTCTATGGTTTTGTTTTGATAATTATTAAAATTTGTCACGATCAAATTGATTGACAACACACACACATACACACACACCTGACACTACCATTATCATATAAGGTGGAGTCTTTGAATACGAGACATTCTGATTGATCGTCTGATCGATTTATTTTATATGACCCAATCATCGATGATCGATGACAGAAACCAAAAAAAAAAAAAACAGCCATTGGTTACAAATGTCTAAATTGACCATGACCATCATTATTATTATTATTAATATCAGCCATAGTCGACGTTGTCGTTGTTGCGGTCACCATCATCACCAATTAGAAATTATCAAGTGTTGGAAAAAATGAAAATAAAAATTTTTTTTTTTTTATCATCATCAATGATGTGACTCGTGTTTTTCATAATTATAATGATGATGATGTACTGGAACTCGTGTCTTTCATAATTGGTGGTGAAACAAAATAAACAAAGAAAAAAAATAAACAAACAAACAAAGCATGCATATAAATAAAGTAAAGAAAATATCTGAAAGTTATACATGATGAAAAATATGAATTCTATGGCCAACAACATGCATCATCATAATCATCATCATCATCATGATAGCATGGCAACCTTCACATAATTATTGTTCCATAATCAACATGAAACTTTTATTTCTGATTTTTTATTTTGTTAATTCAAAAATTGTCATTAAATTATGTGGACCCGAAAATGTTTCCAATACTCAATGTTGATGCATTTATAGTTTGTATGTTTTTTTTTTTGCTTGGATTCATGTTCCATAATAATCTGTTATCTATATAATTATATTCAAATTGTAATCATTATCGAATGATTTATTATTTCAGAATCGAATTTATCAAATCTTGATGTTGTAAAATTAAATTTTTTGTTTTCCCCAAACATTTCAATGTTGAATGGACAAAAAATTATTATCAAACTTTTTTTTTCTCTCTACTTGTTATAAAACTAGGAAGAATGAACAAATTCAAATTTGTTTCACCTGTCATGGACAAAAAAAAAATATGCTCTTCATGGATTTTTTTTTTTGTCATTTGGACATTTTATAAATCTAAAAACGATCAAAAAAGGAGAAGCAAATAGAAATGATGTAAACAATTCATAATTCGTTTTGTTTGTGTGTGTGTGTGTGTATTTACATCCAGTGTATATAATTTTTGTGTGTGTTTTTTCACTGAATCAAATCTATCCAACAAATGTCGTATGCAATTTTTTTTTTCTATTAAGTACAAAATGATTTATTTAACAAGATTTAAATATGATTATTCAACAAGATTTAGTGGAAATGAGAGAGAGAGAGAAATACTACAGTTACGTAAAAAAAATGTTTAATATACAAATATTGATGAATGATTGTAATCAAAAAAAAAAAAAAAAAAACAGAAATTTATAAAAAGACATTGATTCTCTATGTACAGTCTAAATAATAATACATTTGGACATTGAAATCACTAATTTGATTCAATAGTGGAAATTGAGAAAAAAAAACAAGGATGATCCTATGAATTTAAACGAAGAAAAAAAAATAATGATCATGATGATCATGAACATGTTATTGAACAGTTGCCAATATATTAATCAGATAAAGGATATTTCATCGAACAATCAATCTATAGTATTGATTTGATTAGATTGAAATTGATTAGGCCCCCCTTCCACAAAAAAAAATCTAATAAGATGATGTAGAAAATTTAAATTCATTCCAATCCAATCAAAAGAAATGAATAGGATTCAAACGAATTAACCCAAAAAACATAGAAAAATAAATAAACAGGACAACAAGGTCATCATCATCATCGTTGATGAAGATGAAAATGGCAGGTTTTCTTCTTTTTTTTTGTTGCTTCGCTTTTTTTTCAAATCATTCATCAGAACGATTCGATTCGATTCGAATTGTGGATTGGAATAAATGAATGAATTTAAATGTAAATGAACATGTAACTGATGATGATGATGTTGATGATGCCGATGATGTAAATGATGATATTGACCTATTATTCAATCGATTGTTGATTATTTCATCTTTCTTTGCTGCTGCTGTTGTTGTTGTTGTTGTTGTTATTATTCAACTGTTTTTAAAATGTTTGTTGTTGTTGTTGTTGATTTTGTTTCCAATGAATCCCTCAATATCCGTCGACAATTTTTCATCGTTTTTTTTATCTTTCATTCAAAAAAAATTTATTTTTTTTATATTTTATGTTTTGTTTAACAATTGTTTACAGCTTGTTTATTTGTGTGTGTGTGTGTGTGTTGTTTGTTGATGATTTCAATTGTTTATCGTTAAAACCAACCAGCTGTGATCAGTCAGTCATTTATTCTTAGTTAAAAACAAACGAATGTGAAAATATATAAAATTCAACAATCATTTGAACTTGTCTTCACTTTATTTCATATTTTCATGATCATCAACAATATATATAATTGACATAATAATCATCATTTAGCACTATAGTATTGGCCGCACCTTGTTTTTGTACGGAAATGGTAAGCAATATATTTGATGATGGTGATATTGATGATGTTAATGATGATAATGAAGTCTTATTTTAACAGAAAATTTTTGTTTCAAACAAAAAAATTTTGATATAAACATCAATTTTGTTTGTTTGTTTGTTTGTTTTTTTTTGATATCGACAATAATGTAGGTGGATGTACAATTAAATCAACGAGTTAATCAAAATGGATTCAATGATCAAAGACATACGTTAATCATTGATGTGCTAAACGATTGATTAATTAATCGTTTTTTTCTGTTTCTCTTATTCGTTCAAAAATTTTTCTTTACATTTGATGATTACATTAAAATTGTAAATTTATCATTTGTTTACGGACGTTTGAAGAAAAATTGAACTTTTTCCCCATAATCATTACACGTGTTTCGTGTCCAAAAAAAAACAAATATCTCATGTCGAATTTTTGTTTGAAATTATTATTAAAAAAGGATGATGAATATGACGTGAAAACGTGCAAAAAAAACATTGTATTGATGGAATTTTTCATCATTTCCATTTGTGAATTCGTGAAAAAAAAACTGACTATGGTTAGTGTTTGTGTATTTAGAATTTGGTTGTTGTGTTTGTTTACGCATTATGCATTGTTCAAATGATCAAATGAGACAATGGTCATTTGACATTTGTTTTTTTCTCTCTCATCATTCTGACATCATCATTAATTTTACTTGCACGTCATTGTCATTTATCATTCATTGACATTTTTTTCATCGAGGGTAAACAAAAAAAAAAAAAATACATTCAATCAAGGTGAATGACAACAACAATGAAATGACCAGAATCCATTGATTATTGTAAAGTTCGTAATATTTAAATATTTTTTTTTATTTTTATTTACAAGCAATGAACATGATTTTGGCGCGATAGAATGATTCACTAATCCTACACACACACACAAATATATCGACTAACAACAACACACACCCAATATAAAGTTGAATAGAAATGAAAAAAAAATAAGAGAAATGAGAGAAAATGGAAAAAAAACATATAAAGGTGGATACATGGATAACATGGTAAAATAATAAAATTCTCTTTCAAAAAAAAAAATTTGTCTTCCTTTCTCTCTCTCTCTCTCTCTCTCTTTTGAGATGTTTTGCCATTCAATGATGATGATGATGATGATGATAATGATAATAATCATCGAAAGAAAAAAATCATCATTTAGCCAATCTTTTCTTTTCTTTTCTTTTCTTCTTTGGAATTTTTTTTTTATTTTCATTCAGTATTTGGATATTGTTAAGCATCGTTGTTTATGTGCATGTGTGTGTGTGTGTGTGTGTGTGATTTTAAAAAACGAAAATTTCTTCGTACATTATTCGGTTTTCATTCTGGTTTTTTTTAGTTTTGTCAACCACATTGAAATGCTTCATTGATTTTAATGGAGAAATTATATTCATTTTATTTTTTTTTTTTTTTGACATTACCATCTTCATCTTCATCACCATCAAATCAAATGGATGAATGAATGTTTGTTTCTGTCTATTAAAAAAAATCCGTATTTTATATTTCAGTTGATTGGTAAATTTTTGATCTTGTGTTTTTTTTTACTCATAAAAAAATCGTGTGATTGACATTAACGATTTTTTTTTCGTTTAGTCACAACAACAACAACAACAACAAAACCAACAACAATAATGGTGACATGGTTTTAATTTTCAAAGTTTATTTTTTATCTTATAACATCAACTTTAAGAATACGAAACATAAAATCAACTTGTTCGATACATAAAAAATTTTGTTGTTGTTGTTGTTGTCGATTGAAATGAATTGTTTCACTATTTTTTGTTGTTGTTGTTGTTGTTGATTTTTTCATGGTGACATTTTTCTCTTTCTCCTTGAAATCAGTGATTGATTGATTGATTGACTGAATGATTGATTTAGTGTGAATGTTGAACATTATTAAAACAAAAAAAAACACCAAGATAATATCAAATTCAAAGTTTCCAATGTCTATGTCGAAGATCATTAATGATCAATCACCAAAAATGATGTCGGCTGGACAATATAGTGAAACAAGTAGTGGTGATATGTATCTAGATAATCGTTATCTTTATGCTCGTAATAGTAAAGCAATCGGTGTATTATGGGCAGTATTTTCACTTTGTTTTTCCATCATAAATATGGTCGTATTTGTACAGCCACAATGGTTAGGCGATACGGCTACATCACGTGGTACCGGCTATTTTGGTCTTTGGCGATCATGTCGCCTATTACAAGATGGACAAGATTTAATCTGTGAAGGACGATTAGATGATTTTAGTACAATACAGACACCTGCATTTCGTGCGGCAACCGTATTTGTTGGTCTTTCTGTTTGCCTTTCATCATTATGCGTATTATCAATGGTTTTATTCTTTTTTCTTCATTCATCAACCGTATTTCATGTTTGTGGTTGGATTCAACTATCATGCGGTATGTTTGAATGAAAATTTTTTTTTTCTATTGTTTCAATCATTTCAATTTTAATTTTTTTGTTTGTTTGATACAAACAACAACAAATTGAACAATAATTCTTTTCCAATCTGGCAATGATAATTATAAACATGCTTAATTTGACATTGACAATAATAAGTGAGATAGTGTGCAAACAAACCCGTTAGCCATTCATTAATATTCATTATTATCATTTTCATATGCGAAAAAAACCAATGCGAACAGTCAGCTATATCATCAGTTTGTGTTTGTTTGAATTTCGGTTCAATAGATCACAAACATATTTAAATTGATGATCGAATCGATCGATTGATGATCGATGGCACCGAACTGCTCCATAACAAAATAAATGACAATTTTCTTTTCTATTTATTATGTGAAAATGTTTCAAAAAAGTTATTGTTATCTGTGTTTCTCTTTTTTTTTCTCAATCACATCAACACAGGTGTATGGTATTAAATTGTTTTCGTTTCATTTCATTTGATTTTGTTGTTGTTGTTGTTTTTTTTTCGTGCCAATGATCGTGACATAAGGCGCCTGGTTTGATTATTTTAGTTTTGTTGTAGGTATTTATTTGGTATTATCCATCCATTATTATTAATATTATTATCATCATCATCATCATCATTATTATTATCATTGTATTTGTTTGTCACGAATTGTTGTATACGAACAGATTTACATTCCGTTATTGTATTAGTGTGTGTGTGTGTGTGTGAGGTGAATCGTCGTTATTATTTTAATCAAATTTTTTCTCCTTCATTTTTCATTCTTTTCTCATTATATTCAATGATTTTGAATGCGAATGGTTAAAAGTTGCAGTAGCAACTGATTAATAATCATTCACACACACACACACACAGACGTAGAATCCGATGCTTTTTTTCCTTTTGTTTTTTCATATTTCCGCAAATATTGATTGATTGTTGAAGCATTTTATTTCCCCTATTTCAATGAGTTTAAATTTTTAAATCTTCTTTCGGAAATGTTGGATTGATTGTTTTCTAGTTCCGAAATTATTTTGTGTTCATTTGCTAAAAATCTGTTGAAATTCTATTGAATTTGATAATTTACAATATCATATCATTAGTGTATAAACGTTTTTATATATTTATTTAAATTATAATTGAGATGCTCTACCACTAAAATAACTACCACTCTTGGCAATGATGATGATGATTTGATGATGATGTTGATCTTGATAATGATGATCATGATGAAAATAAATTTTCCATTTTGATCAACATTTTTTGCTTTCAATTCCAATTTCAAATCGATTTGTTTTCTCACTTGATTTGCCTTGCTAAAAAAAGATGATAATGATTATTTATATATAATATTTATCTGGGTTATTGGATTGCCCGAAGCAAATGACAGTTATAATTATTATATATATTATCGTGTTGAACAAACACATGAGAAGAAAAAAAAATTTATTCATTTTTTCGAATCATTCAATTTCAATGATAACTATTTGGTGTAGAATAATAATAACATGACTCATATTCTTCTGTTTTGCCATTAATAAAATTCAAAACTTGTTTTTTATGATTCTCATCATCAAATGAATTAAGGTTAAAATCAATTTCATGCTTATCAAAAACAGAACAAAACAAAACAAAACAAAACAATAACCAAACATTGGTACAATATCAAATGATAAAAATGAAAAAAAAAATTGAATTGAATTGAATTGAATGCATATTATATACAACATTTAAAATGGAACATTGTTTGGTATTGTTTGCAAAATAAAATGTGAAACGAAATGAAACGGAAAACCAAAACCGAACCTAGTTTTATGAATGACAGATGAAAACAAACACACACACACACACACACACAATCATTCAACAAAAAAAAAAATGAATAATGCCAAAGTCGGTGACTAAATTGACTTGTTATCTATGCATACAACGATACGAACAAACTGAATCAAAATGCTGAACAAATAATAATGATGATGATGTTAATGATGATGTATGGAAAATAGAATCAAACAAACAAACAAAAATGATCAAATCTTGATGATGGATCGTTCCATTATGAATGAATCACTACCGGGGCAATTGTGAGTGAAAGAAAAAAAAATTTTGAAACTGTTTTTTTTAATTGTAAAATTTGTTTTAAAATTATCATTATCATCATGATAATGACACTCACTGTTTATGTGAATACGATTTTGATTGACAGATAGTGTTCTTCAGTGGTGAAGTGAAAAATTTGAATAATTTGGTGTTTGTTTTGTTTGCAAACAACGACAATGTTTCATTCATTCATCATCGTTTCCGTGTGGATTTTGTTTTCCAGGTATCAGATGGAAAAAAAAGACATTTTTTCGCATTGAATGAATCAATCGATTGATAATAATGTGTGTATGCTTTTTGTTGGTTTTTTTGCTACTCGTTTTTTTTAATCCTTTCCACTAACAAAATCATTGGTTTGAACTGAATGTTTTTTTGTTTTGACGGCATGATCAAAATGCACGAATTTTTTTTCGCCATTTTCATTTCACATTTATAAAAGAAAAGAAAATATTTACAGAAAACAAAAAATTTCAATTTCAATCCCTCAATCAAACACACACACACACACACATGAAAAATTTCAATTTTTTTTTCTATCGATTTTTATTTCTGGATTTTCTGTTTTATTTTAATGGAATTTTTTCACACATCATCAATGCAATCTTATTGTCATTGTGAACCATAACAATCATCTTCAATAAGAAAATGAAGAAAAAAAAATCAAAATCAAAATGAATCTTTTCAAACACAAAGGTCTAGTTATGATGAATTTTATGAATTTTGATGTTGAAAATGTTTGTGAATTGATGAACAACGTGAACAAAAAAAATGAAAAATGTCATCATTATTGGATGTGAGAATATCATCATTTATTTTATTTCATTTTCGAGTTCATCACTAGGTAAACAAATCATCATCATCATCATCATCATCATCAAAACGAAAAGTGAAAACCATATGAAACAACTTTTTTTTCTTGTTTGTGCAAGTCATTCATGGGGAAAAAAAATTTGTTCTCCTAGTTCTGCATATTTGATTTGATTTTTTTGATTAAAAAATTCCAATCACATCCATATGATTTTTTTTCCTATTCACCGGACGCTTTCTTGTGTTGAAAAGGCATTGTGAATAAAAAAAAAACAATCAATGATGAATGAATCAATCGATTGGATCGATCGTATGATCAATTTTTGTTTTGTTTATTTTCTTTGTCTCTTATGAATTTTATCGATCAAACAAAACATGATTGTTTCAATTGATTTTCCATGTTATCATCATCATCATCATCATGTTGTTGTTGTTGATACAATATGGAATGAAATAAAAATTTTCTTTTGTTCATTTTTCTTTTGGTAACATCGTTTTCTCATTGATCATTCAATTACATTTAATTTGTAACAAAAAAAAATTTTTTCCAGTTTAAAATTTGATTCATTCATTCACATTTGGATGGTGGCTTTTTTCGGAAATTTCTATTCAATTTTTTTCTATTTCGGACAATTCTTTGTCATTTGTCTAACATTCAATGATTATTATCTTTTTTTTTATTTATATATTGACATGTGAATGAAATTAAACTGATGTACTGAATTCATATAGAAATGTTTATTTACAATTAAATTTGTGAAAAAAGAAGAAAAGAATCCATCCACATTTATAGCTAAATTTAATTTTGATTCAAGTTAACCCAAAATGAAGTGAATGAAACTAAAAATAATTCTCATTAAGCGTGTGTGTGTGTGTGTGTGTGTGTTCGTTTTTGTCATATAGGTCATACTGGTATCTTTGACAGCAACAAAAAACGAAGATATTTTCGAATCATTGCCATAATTAAAGATGCCACCACACATTTTGTGGACATGATTTTTTTTTCTGGTGAGAATTTAGTTTTTTTTTGTTTCTCTCGCAGTCGTATAACAATCGTTTATTATTTTTTTTTTTGCTTTTGTTTTGTTTTGTTTTATCATCACCATCATCATCAACAATTTAAACTTTAAGTTAGTTGGTCATTTTTAATTGTTGATGATCGACTACATAAACACAAACATCAGTCGCACACACACACACACACATATTATGGTCATTATCTCATCATTATCATTGTTTTTGTTTTATATATGAATAAAAAACAAAAACAAAAAAAAATTTTCTCTTTGAATTTGACATCATCATCGTCTAAAAATATTTTTCATATAAACAATTTTTAATCATCATTATCATCAGTATCCGATGTGACCTATCTTGCATATGTATGTGCATGTGTGTGACCCAGCAATTAAAACGAAAATAATTCATCTCTCTCTCCCTCTGGCTCTCTTTTTCCTAGTTTGGGCCAAAAATATCTGTCATTGATGATAATTATTAAAATCAACAACAATTTTTGTTTGTTTGTTTGATTATACGATGCTAGATTGTTGATGATATTATCAGATTTCTTGAATTTTTTTTTCTCGACCGTCTCTTGTTTGTTTGTCAGATATTTTCATGTTTCATCAATGAACACTAGCAAAAGTTTATTGGTGTCTTTTTTTAGCCAAAACAAACGATCAAGAAAAAAAATCGGAAATCCAAAATATTCAGAACAAATTTATGGTGATGTTTGTTGTTTTCAAACAATAAAATAAAAAATTCAACATACAGCTTTTATGAACACATGATTATAGATGGCCAAAATGGATGGAAAATTTATAATTTATTTTTTTTTCTCATTATAACCAATCATCATCATCATATTCAGAAGCCACAAGAAAAAGCCAGAAAGAAATGGTTGATTTATTTATAGTAAATCGAACAGAGAACAACAACAAGTCACGTTATTTAGGAATCATTTGTCTATGGTTAATAGATATACACGCATATCATATGATAATCATAGATGCAAGATGTGATCATAATCTCCAGAAAAAAAACGATGCGATGATCGTATTCATTCATTCACCTTAAGTTTATATT